ATGTTGTGTATACTGCTCTTCCATTTTACAAAAACTGTTTTATAATTTTTTAGTGCACATAATTGTTGAAAATCAGACCATTTTTATGAATATCTTTTTTACAAAGTTATCAATTTTATACAAATCACATATTTATTCTTATATATTATATTGGCATAATTCAAAATTATTTCAAGAATTATATATTTGTATGTATATGTTGTGAAAAGAGATGTGAAAATGTGTATATTCTTTCTTGAAATTATGTTATATTACAATATAATAGAGCTGCATAACTTTTTGCTTTAAAGGTAGATACTTGTTAGAGTGTTTATTGTTTGTTTGCTGTCCACAATAGTGAACGTATAAAGTATATTTCATTGAAGACATAGGTTTGTACATAACAATGAGAGCAAGTATGTAGTGTGCCATTTAAAAAAAGTTAAAGGTGACCTTAATATGTAACAAAGTTATTTTACCTAAAGAAGTTTTGAATGCAGCAAGTGACATGTTGCTTGTAATTATACAAGTTCCAACAAAGGTTTTGATATCTCGTTTCATTTAGAAGGTAAAAATTTATGTGACTCATTCTATATAACTTTGTCCAGGTTTTTTGAAAATATGGATGTTTCAATGTAGCCATTTTTAGTCAGCAGATTCAAATGCCATTAAATATTTATAGAATGGGTTAAATAATATAAAAATACATAGGAATTGATACTTTACAATATAAAATGAAATCCGAATCCACACTATTTTATTAATCGTTTAATTAAACCGTTGTTTTGCCATTTATTTAGCTATAAGTACTGCAAATGAAATGAAAATAAATTATTAGAATATAATTATATTACTTGATTATACTTACTTGAGTTTGTCATAATTTGCATTGCACTTTTATACTATCGTACGAGAAATATATTTTCCGAAAATGCCCATATCGTTGTGATACATTCAAGTTTGTAAATATATATGTAATTACTACAGATAAAACAAATGCGTAAATTATTATATATTTACATTGCAGCTTTCTTTTTTGAAATTACAATTAGAAAATTAACTGTTTGGAAAGATTTTATACATTACTTTAGTTAAAGATGAAGATAATTTCTACATTTTACAGAAAGAAATGGAAAATAAGTTAAATATCAGTAAATAAAAGGGGGAATCTGTGATACATATTTCAAATAAATAATATATCGTTATTGCATTTTAACATTTTGTATATCAATTTTACGTTTGATGTATTTTATTTTTTATTTTATTTTTTTATATAAAAAGCAATGTCATCTATGGATAAAAAAAGAAAATAGGTGTAGTGTCGACATTGCAGTATTATATTTTGTTTACAAAAGTATTTTGAAATATGCCACATGAAACTAAAAAATTATAGGAAAAGTACGACTGTTTTCTTATTTATTTTGTAATGAATAATTACAATCTTCAAATCACTAAATTTCTTCAAAAGTTATGATAATTTGTATATTATAAACGCTGTTCAGGATCAGGACTTTTATTTTGAGAATGTAATGAATTGTCACATTCGTGCACCTAACATAGTATTATATCTGACTACTTTTATTTTTATGTTTAAAATGTTAACAAAAGTTGTTAATATAAAGCTTTACTTGTGTTTCTTTAAATAATTGTTCTTACTTTACGCGTGTGGTTTTTAAAAATTTTAATATTTGCAAAAAATAAGCTCTTCAAAAGAATGTTTAATACAAAAATTGTAGTATGTCTTTAAGCAATTCATATGATGGTGTAATTTTTTGTTTCAGGGGGATGCAGTAGTATTAGGGAAAAACAGTCCGATAGGGGTTGGGGAGGGAAGAGAATCAGAGAATGATAGGTACTGTGATATCGAGTTCATAAACAACAACATGATGGCCAAACCTATTAGCCATCTCGAAAATACCGCCGCCAATGACTTTTTAACCGTCCTGTCGAGCCAAACTGGTAATTATAAATGCTTATAGTGTATTTATTTTATGCTATATAACAACTTATTTGTAAAAATTTTAACTTTGTATAAATTGTGTTCTATTAATTTGAAGGAATGACTTGAAAAATTAGAGATTCGCCGTGTATAATATATGCTAGAACAAATTAAATATGTATTCTATCTAAACTGTTTAACACCATTTATATCAAAGATGTGAAAAGAAAAATGGTCTTTAACCCTCGGACAGCAGATAGCATGATAGTCGCACGTACGGCGGGTGCCGGGTCAAATATGACCCACTACTAAAATCTTTCGTACGCAAGCGAAACCACATATTTTATTTTACTAGGCATTATGTTGTTTAAAATTATACAAATATATTATGATTAAAATAATAAACATTCATAATATAAATTAACAATTTTTATTCGTCTTCTATATAATGAATGCATAATGTTTCTTTCCGAATTACTACGTGATTATTGCATACGTGTACAACCAAAGCAATTGTCACATTTTATACTGTATTTATTATCATTGCCAATACAAATGTAACATCTGGAACTCTTTTCATTTCTTTCGGTCTTTTCAATAGCTTGTAGGCTATAAATTAGATATAATAATCTTTCTTATTAAGTAATTGCAAATAAAATGCTTCATTCCGATGCTTAGACCACTTATCACTTAGATAAACATCGAGAAGAGGGCAGTCGTAACTCTGTTTTGAATGTTGGTTAAAACAAGGGACATGTAAATGTCGGGTTAACGGTGACCCGGAATCCGCCGTCTGAAGGTTAATACATTATTTAATAAATATTGGTACAACAACTTATTAATTATGTGTGAATATTTTTAATAATTCATGCATACATATACATACATATATACATACATAGATGTTTCTAATAATTTTAATTTATGTAATAATTTAATTAATGGAATAGAATGGATCAAAATGTAAGTAAATCTATATTTCTGTTGTACACAAGTACAAAAATGTGTATTAAGATAGATCTTATATTAGATCTTTAGTTAGGGTTTAGACATAGCTCCAGTATTATTACTGTTTTGCTAAGTCTATCTGATACAAAATTACATGCAATGGAAAATCGGCAGTTCACATTCGTTTCTTCATTCAATTTCTCCAAAGTATTTAATGCAATTGGTCATAACCTACTCACTGTCAAACTCTAATATATTATTTCTTTTTCTTTTGGCATTAGAATGTATGCGTTTTTATTTAATTAATAACAGGTGAGGTAGACAGCATGTTCTGATCAATAATAAAGAAATGAAATTTCATTCAGTACCTCCTGTAATGAGAAGTATCACAGGAATCTATTTCCATTTCGATACAGTTATTCTTAAAAGTATTAGAATGCTAAGTAGATTTTATTTTATAATGATAAGTCTCAGTTAATTATGACATGTCATCGTTAGCTTAATAAATCTTCATACACAAAATTGTAATATAAATTAACAAATCTTATAAAATTATCATATTACAAAAATATTTTAATGCTTAGCAAAAATGAACATTTTTTACATCCTTTAGAATCTAAATAGAATATCAGTACTTTGTGGGATATGGTTTCAAGTGTGTCTGCATATTTAAAATAATTAAAAAAAAATATTGTTCACTATTAAAATACCATTCTTCTGTTAATCTTGCTATAAGTTCTTTTTATTGTAAATCGAAGACTTGTGAATTTTCAGCTTTATTCCATAGATTCCCTGTGCATTTCATGACTGGTGATATGACTAAGACAGCAGATGTAGAACTTTCAGACAATTGTATAACAAATATTCTTGTACAATTTGTGATTTATATTTGAGATCGTTATCTTGATTACGAACTTACAAGTTTCCAGAATTCACATTTTGATAAACTATTTTCTTCAAAAAGCACAGTAACATTTACCTGTTTTGATGAATCTTAAGTATGTTGTAATCCTTAAAATAATATTTGTATGGTTTGTCATTGTTACAGTGACTATATTAATTGTATACATTTTAGGATTAACTAATATTACATGATATAATTGTTAGAATATCACTAAGATTTATTACTTCCATTATCTATCTATCTATTCTATCACTAGAATAAATTATGAATACAATAATTTCTGATTATATCGTGGAAAATCAAAATTCCAGTATATTTATCTTGGAATTTTGGTTAAAAATTGACATTTTATGAGAAAAATTAAAAATAAAATTTACACGTTTAAGCTATTTTTCTAAACTTAACAATTGCCGAAATATTGAACAAAATGGACTCCTATATTTTAATTTTAGAGGAATCATTTTTATGAAAATACGTAGTTCATATCGAATGGTGGTTAAGGTATTAGCAATTTATGCAGACATTTGGAGGGACAAAATTTATGATTATTTTATACCAAAATATATTTTTGAGAAGTTTGAAAGGGACGAATGATAAAAATCGTAGAATGAAAATAATGTGAAAAATTACATTGGAGCCAGTAACAGCTTGCTTTGAATGAATTGGATCTGTAATATTTAGTGCATCTGCAGTTGCAATAATATACATGACAGTATTTTCATTAATTGAAATTCTCAATCTTTGAATCACTTCAAAGGTATCTGAATACATACTGAACGTGTAATAATTTAAAATGATTAATATGAACTTTGTAGCAAGTGCAAATAAGAAACAGAAGATATAAATGCGCCACGAGAGATTTTCTCTATTATAGGAGGAAATATATTAAAATAGTTTTATAAACATTTGTGTATTTTATCACTGGAAAAAGTACTGTAACAGTTGGTTATAAACAGAAGGAAAAAAGGACTGTGGAATTACAAAATGTGTCTACTACAAAAATGATATAAACGGTGGTCCACACAGCTGGAACAAGTTATATCTCTACTGTGATTGTAATTAGGAAGAAATGTTAGAGGAAAGAAGTGAATGGTTCTAGAAAAGATTACTAAAGATACTATTAAAAGATATTTTCAGGACCATATTTTTTTCGCAAGTGCTACAATGTATGTACATTATACAGTTGCACTATTTTTTTAAATAGAACTACTTTGTATGTAAAATAGTATTAGGGTAATGTGGTCAACAAATGATTAGTCCTTGAGATATTTTGAATAAATGTATATCCATGGCAATGTTATAAATGATGGAGCGTTTGAGCTTCTTTAATGAAGACATTTATTTGATTAATCTTAAAAAATCTTAAAAAAAAAGATTAATCATTTTTCAACCACTTTACTCTAATATTTTTTTATGCAGAGTGACTATCCAAAAAAGAATACATTCGTTTCCATTTAGAAAAATGGTGCATTGCACTTGCGAGAGAAATATTGATCTTGTAAATGTCATTTTCTTTGAACCACTGACATGTATAGAACAACAATAATTGTCTCATTTTCAAATTACAATAACGAACTTTTATACATAGTAATAAAAAAAGAGTGTAGCAATTTGATAAAAATAGGAAGCAATCAATTATGCTGTGATTTATTCTATTTTCATTTTTATCAAACGTATATGTAATAACTTATGAAGTAGTTTTGAGTGATAGTGTATGTAATATATCAGTCTCTATAATACGGTGGACGTTACTATTAAAAATATTGAATAGTTCTTTCAGAATTTAAAATTACATGGATTTGAACAATAATGAATGTAAACATTTATAAAATACTTTTTAGTATCTTGCACAAAACAAAAGGCTCTCCTTCTGAGAGTCTTTTACGATAGTTGCTCTTCGAAGTACTTTGAAATTATGTGTCTAGTTCTCTGCCAGCACTCTCAGTACCGTGTACACTGATAAATTCACTCGAGAGAGAAATTTGCGACAGTTTTGATATCAAATGAACACGTATCTGCCTTAAGAAAACAAAAGATTTAGTGTTCTTTTATTTTGGATATTATTCAATACTCTTCGTTTATTGGTTTTTGAAAAAACTACATGACCGCAATATGTTAATTATAATACATATTTAATGTGATAAAAGACACTGTGATGATGTTATTATATTTTATTAACACTTTGCACTCGAAGTACTCCCCTCAGGTACAGACAATGTTTGACGTTGTACTCGAAGTGTGTCTCTCAAGTACACCAGAAATAAAGAACATAAAAAAATATTGTCTTTTGAATCTTACTTCTAATTTTTGCATTGAAATAAATCATTTATTACATGTGCGTTAATAAGGCGACAAGAGTCCGAGTTGCAGGGAAAATTTAACCCCAGAAAAAGTCCGAGTGCAAAGGGTTAACATTGAGAAAGCTTTTCACCGGTGGAGTGCTGATAATATTGTTTTTCATTTTTCAGGCAAGTTTGTCTTGACCAGTCGAAGCTCGATCTGCCAGTCAAAACTAAATAATCGCTCAAATCGAGCGGAACATAATCATCAAGACAACCGAAAACAAACAGTTAATACAACAACAAAAAGAAAACAACCGGGCTCGTCCGGCAACCACAAACCGGACAGCTCCGCCAATAATTCTAAGTCTATGTCTAAGACATTAAGTGATAATAAGACTAGCTTTAGCGTACTAAACATTAGGGTACTAAGTATAAGCGTAAATCTACGATTAACCGGAGATAAGTGTGCAATCGATGAAGGGGTACCTAGCCTAGTTAGGATACCCAAGTCTGATCGCCCCTCATCAGGCCACTTTTCTCTCGACTCTCTTGACAATTACTCCTTACTAGGATCCTGCCTTCATCTGGGCAAATACAATAACATTAAGTCTAATTCTAGCCTCCTAAGTAATAATAACGATAACTACAAGTCTGTGATATTGCTCAGCTCAACCAGTAACCATTATTTCCTCCGCGTTGAAATGGACGGTGGTGCGATTGCAATGAGACTAAGAACCCGTTTCGATCCACTCAGATTCTTGACGAACTCTTTTTTCGACGGTTTATCGTTAGAAAGACAATTTCTTTTTAAATTACAGAACGATGCATACTTTAGAATTACGGAGATGATCTTATCGAACGATCAAATTATTCGAACCAAACACTCCTCGATTGAATTTCATTTTGAAATGCCAAACATTTTAAAGAAAATTTTATCAAGTTACTTCGCATCTGAAAATGGATATTGCTTTGATCCCAGAGAATCATTAAATAAATTTTCCTCGACGCATTTAACATTGATTCGAATTTTTTTGGAAAGCATACGTTGCTTGAAGCATGAATCGTCATTTGGAGACATTTCTTTAACTAGAAGTATTCCGACAATTATAAAATTTTTCTTGACATATCTATCTTTAAAGAACGAATCTCGTTATTTGTTGTTTCATTTGGGAATCATTAGGAAGCAATTAGAACCTATTAAAGATAGTGTGAAGGCGTTGGAAAAATCTGTTCAAATCAATTCTGATTCATTTAAGATGTGGATGAACGAATCGTTTTCAAAAATCAACATCAGATCTTCGTCCACAACAGATTCTTCTCTTATGGAAATTGATGATAAGCGAGAGGAAATATTGAAAAATGTTATACCGGACGATATATTGTTTATAAATGATAATATTAATCTAACAAAAATCGATGAAGATTATGCAACAATATCAAAGCCGCCTTTAAATTTCGTAACGCTGAATAAGATAAAAATAAGCGATAGGTCGTCGGATGAAGAATCGAGTTCGATTAAGAAAGGAGAAAATGTGGCCACCAGTTCTTCCATTACGCTTATCGTTCCCGGAAACGAGCTAACCGACCAGCCTCCGCGACCTCTCCCATTGAGTAACGCGCTGAAACGCGCACAATCCTCTCCTCCGTGGCTCGACCTGGTCGCGAGCGAGCTGACGCAACGCGCATGTGTTCCACTCTCGTTAGATCGTAAGCTTTATGTGGTTAAACTTAGCTGTAAGGTGATTTGCGATTTTAGTATTACGTGGAAGGGAATACCGAGCCACGAGACTAGTTACAAAGGGACACATCTCAATGTCCAGTCCTTAAGTATTTTTGCGGAAGCAAATGAGACGATATTCACCTTTAAGGTAGAAGATTTTATGATACTAAACAAGAGAAATTCAAAAAATGCAAGTCTCTTGGCCGATTTCGGGTGGATAAATCATAAAATTTTCATCTCTAATAAAAGAATTTTAACTTTTCCGAAGAATTCGTTAATAGTATCGTCATTATCATCAGTGTCATCACCACGACCACTACTATCATCATTGACAACAACAACGATAAATTGTAAAAACATGGCTTCAAAGAGGGAAAATTTGAATGTCCTCTTTAAAATGTTTAGGGAAGTAGATTGTAAGATTTCAACTTCGGAAAAGCAAAATTTGAAGATCTTGTTACACTTGACCGTTTTAAGAAAGTTGAACAGTGGAATTTTTATCTCTATGAGAAGTCTTACGCAAAATATGAACTATGTGTTCCTGTTAAAAATCTTTAGAAGAATGTATTCAGAACTTCTGAAGAGAGAACATCCAAACGCTTGGTTATTACTAAGAACCTCAAAAATATTAATTTTGAACTTAAAGGAAAAGACGGTGGAGATGTTGTCCTGGGTAATTAATGGTATTAGTGACGTGGCAACAATTACTGTTGGTGCTCTTTCATTTCAGGATAATGTTAAGTCTAATGAGCCCTCGGGCACTTATTTCGCGAGCTATAGGTACTCAGGGTCGTATACGCGTCTTGGCCCTGAGTTTGTTAAGTCTCTTTCTAAGTCTACTATAGGGGATAGATTTAGGGTTAAGGGGGAGAACCAAGACGAGTTCGCTCTCTACATTCCTACTATGACTACCTGCAAGCCTACGATGACGCTTACACGCCAATCTGCATCCCGAATAATCGGTGTACCTGGATCTCGGCCGAACTACTTCGAGATATTATGGCCCGACCAAATGCACACTCCTCACAAATTTTATGACAGTTTGCCGAACTGTTTAATGGAATATCACAATGATTCTCTTCCAGAAGGAGAAGACAAAGAGAATTCTTTGAAATGTTTCGGTTGTTTTAACGAACAAATTCGTATCGTAGGCCGAAACATTAGTGATGAAAATCTTAACTATAACGAACTGGAAAGGATCAAATCTCAAACTACTGTCTATTTCAACGAAGATCATTATACTCAAGCAAGAGTACTTCGTATATGCGGTTTTGAGAGGAACTATTATTGCCAAAATTTGCACGAGTCAATAGAAGGAGATGTTTCTATTAATTCATCGTGCTCTAATTTACTTAAACGAATGAAGCTAAAGCGTCAAGCTTTTACTGCTATAAAGAATGAAAATATTTCTCCAGAAAATTTCTGTGATTTATATCGATTTAAAGAGGCGTCATACAAAGTACACCAACCTATCGGATTTAATGTTGAGAACGTTTTCACAGAAAGTCTGATAAGTTCTAAGCAATTCACTTTAACCAGTTCGACGTTTCAAACTGCCCAGTTCATTGTCAGTGAGGGTATTAATGTAATGAAGACGGATGCCGTTCTTGTAGACTTATATAATTGCAATCAATCTAAAAAGAGTGAAAATGATAAACAAAGTTTCGTTGGAAGTTCCATCGCTTCAGCTCCATCGAAAAAAACTTTCTCTCAAAATGATCCAATTTCTATTCTCACGGAGAAAAGAGAAATTAATAACACCAATGATTCAAGTCGAACTCATCTCATTGACTGCGCAAGGAATCTCATAGCAGCGTCCATTGGAGTTTCCAAAGAGACTTTACAAGTTCAAAGGAATTACCTTAAACGCGTGTTGACGCTTCTCTTCGGACCTCTTTGTGATCTAGACGAGTTCAATTTGGCATATAAGAAAAGGTGGGGAATTCCTGGCATTCTTAGATTGGCTGGCGGAGGTGAAAATTCATTGAACAGCGGTGGATCTACAAATTGGGGCTCTACACAGACTAGTACTACAAATAATAACAACAGCAATCAATCCGGATGGGGTGGGTCTTCAGGGAATCCTTCAGGAAACAGTGGAGCACCTGGAAATTGGACTGGAAACAGTGTAAACAGATCCGTCGCTGGTAATCCAAATTCAAATCAGAATCAAGGACCTCCTGGTGGACAAAATGTTCCGGGTGAGTGTCCAGATTTTTCTTGTTAAGTAATATTAAAGTGAAACCTAAACACGGTTGATATAATTGTAAAAGCATTCTTTTATAGAATTTTCATTTAATAATTCACAGTATACAGTGCAATATTTAGATGCACAGATTCACTTATTGGAAGCGTAGTAAATATTCTCTTTTCTTTTTTACGTTACACTTAATTGTTAAATTTATGAAATTAAGTTCATAATAAAGTATAAAATTTCACAAACATTTGTAGATACATTACAAGGAATAATTAAACGATTAAACATGATTCATTTATACATGCCTGGGTGGGCAACTACTTTTCAGGTAACGTGAATAAGATGAACAATCCAAATCAGCAATCGAATCAACAATCAGGTCCACCAACTTCCCAATCAAGCAGTACAAATCAAGGTGGCCAAAACAACAATCAGTGGACACAGGGAAAGTCTAATAGTTCTGGCGGGCTCAACCAGAGCTCTTCTGTTCAAAACAATAATAATTCAGCCCAACAACAGCAACAACAGCAACAGCAACAGTCTAATTCCAGTAGCAATAATAATCAGGCTCAGGGATCCGTTAATAGTAGTAATACACCTGCAAGCAATAATCCTTCAACTAAACAACAATTAGAGCAGTTGAATACAGTGAGAGAAGCACTTTTTAGTCAAGATGGTTGGGGTTGCGTAAGTAAAATTATTGTTTCGCAAAATAATGTTTTACATGTCCTTTTCCTTTTTAAACAATTTCTTATTGCTTAATTACTCTGATAAAATATTTTTCTTTCGTCACATTTTAGTCTTTGATGTTAGTTCACTACTGTTTGAGTTACCAAAATAAAATTTTTGTATTTCTGTACTTCATCACTGTAAGATTATATTAAAAGTTCGTTTTTAATGGAAATGGTATCAAAGTATGATGATGTTCCAACTGTTTTTAATTAAATGATTATTACATATATTACTAAAAGAAGACTAGAAGAGGGGAGTCTAATTAAGAAGTATAAAAGGATATAAACTGACGACAGAAAGTTTCTGAAATTTATTTTATTCCGATATTTGTTGATAATTAGCAGTATTTCATATTTAAACATAGGTTAATGTATTTAATTACAAAAAATTCTGAAAAAATTATACAATTTGTTTTATCATGGACAGCAATAAAAAAAAATTAAAGTTACACTTTTCTATATTTTGTTTCTATTTTTAATTTATTTTTATATAAATATATTTGTATTTAAATAATTTATTTTTAATTATATTACTATATTTAATCATTTATATTTTCTTTGAATCAATATTTTTTATACATAATTTTTTCATTTTTTCTGTTCTCAAGTAGTCTTGTATACTTCACCATTTATATCTATTCCATACTAAAATGTCATTGTCCTTTTTTGCTTTAGCAGAATGTGAATCAGGACACAAACTGGGATGTCCCAAATTCTCCAGAGCCGCCTAGTATGTCCAAAGATGGAGTTCCAATGTGGAAAACACCGGTAAACAATGGTACAGATTTATGGGAAGCCAATCTTAGAAATGGTGGTCAACCACCACCTCAGCAACAAGCAAAAACGCCTTGGGGTCACACACCAGCAACAAACATTGGTGGAACTTGGGGTGAAGATGATGAAGCTGCTGATTCATCCAATATGTGGACAGGAGCTCCTACATCTTCTCAGCCAAACTCCGCAACTGGACAATGGACAACTGGTACCGGTAATCAAACCGGTATGTGGGGAGGTAATGATGATCACATTAAAATTTTTTATTTTCTTCCTGCTTACTGTTTTGAGGTAAATATTTTTTAAGTGTCTCCTATAATTGAAAAAGGAAAACAGAAGAAATGATCATTTGATCAAGAATTTATAATATAAAGTTAAAAAAAAGTAAAGGAGAATTTTATGAAACTTTATTATTAAATATTTGATTTAATATTCAGGAAGTTAATAAGAAAATTTAATGAGTACTGATTGAAATTTTGTAATGGTTAGCAGCAGGTCTAACTGTGTTTACATGTCGTTTCTAAGAAAACTTAGAATTTAGATAATTCTGTAAAGAGTGGAGGGCTGCATTAAATAGTGTATTCAAAAATATGAGGTTTTATTAGAAAGAATGTGCAATTTCACTTTTTTGTATCAGTATATCATTGTATCAGTGCACATAATCATATTTGTCTCCTTTAATAGTGCAATCTTTTTCTTTAAATTTTTTTTCCATCTTCAAATCAAATAGAGATATTTACTTATTTATTTTGATGTTTTGATTTTCATGATTCACTCTGTGTAATTTATTACAAGTATTGTTGGTATTTAATATTGAAATGCCTTTTTAGTTCAAGTATTTGTGAATTTGTTAAGTTCACTTAATTGAAGAACGATGCTATAAAATATGACGTAACGTTAAATGTTTATTGATGCAAAAATTGTACACTGTTAATGTCAAAAGATCTCTAATCAAAATTAAACTTTTTTATAGGGTCTAACTGGAGTGATCCGAGAATCGACCATCGAGATCCGCGCGATCTTCGTTCTGTTGATCCCAGAGAGATGCGAGATCCCCGTGATCATAGAATGTCCTTGGATCCACGAGAACATATGCGTGTAATGGATCCAATGGCTCGAGATCCTAGAATGACAGATATGCGTGGAGATCGCGGAATTTCTGGAAGATTAAATGGTGCCAATGCTGATGCAATGTGGGGACAACCACCAGGACCTCCACATCATCAAATGGGACATCAACATCCTTCTGGACCTCCAACTAAAATACTGAATCCTTCCAATATAAATCAGTGGGCCGCGCCACCGCCAAAAGATATTATGCCAGGGAAACCATCCGGTTGGGAAGAACCTTCTCCACCGACACAAAGAAGAAGTGTTCCAAATTATGATGACGGTACAAGTTTATGGGGTAATCCTGCAAGCAATCAGAGAACCATACCTAGCAGTAAAGTTTCTCATTGGAAAGATCTTCCAACACAAAATATAGGAAGGGGAGGTTTGTTCAGTATTATTTTTTACTTTATATTATTCATAGTTTTTATTTTTATTGTAATAAAAACATTTTATTATTTATTTTCCTTTATTATAATACATTTTTTAAATATTCCGAAAACTGTAAGCCATGAAAGTACTCTAATGCTTTTCCAGCAAAATATCTAATACTCAAACTAGCGAAATTGCTTTTTTTGCTGAAGTTTGGAAAGCATCTAATTATGTAGATAATATTTGCAAAGTATTTTTATTGAAAAATTCACGATGTCATTGATTATATAAAGTGTTCGACAACTATTGGTAGAAAAATTAAAGGGTGATTCTACAAGTTAGAATAAGATGAAAATCAAGAATAAAAAAGATTGCGTTTGAGATTTCGTTTATTAGTTATTAACAGTTAACGATATTCTTCTGACCGAGCAAAATGGAATTTAGCTCAAACGCAATTTTTTTATTCTTGATTTTCGTCTTATTCTAACTTGTAGAACCACTCCTTAAATTTTCTACCAACAGTTGCCGAACATCCTGTATATGGTACATTATATTTGTAAAATCTTAGATGTTAGAAATATATTTCAATAAAAGTTCTACTAAATCAATTTACGAAAATTGAATATATATCTGATTAGTTTAAAAATTATTTCTATAGGAATGCAATGTCCGCCGGGCATGCCACAGAACAGAATGCCAGGTCAACCTGGAATGAAACCAGATGTAAGTGGACCAATGTGGGGACACCCTGGTGCTCCTGGAGGACGAAATGGCAGTTGGGTGGAAGGACTACATGATACAGGTCCATGGGATGATCCAAAACTACAGAGTGCTTGGAATGAAGCTCATTTACATCCTGGTACTTGGTCTGGAACTGCTACGCACAAACTTAAACTGATGGGACCTGTTGGAAGCTGGGGTGATACTGATATGGATCCTACTCCTAGTTGGGGTCATCCCACAAAACCCACTCTTACAAAGGAAGTTATCTGGAATAGCAGAGAATTCCGATACCTTTGTGACTTGGGATTTAAAGTAAGTAAGAAGTTGTTTGCATTAGTTCTGTAAAATAAATAGAATTTAATTTAATAATTTCATTGTATATTGCAATCACATGTATAGCTTATCTTTTATTTTTTCCCTGTCATATAATTTTTTTTATTTAAGATTGCCAAATTACACACTCTTTATGTACAAAACATAAACTTTCAAAGTATTTCTACTTTAGTTTCTACTGTTAGATACAGTTAGTGAGTTAGATATAAATTGTGTTAAAGTAATTATAGAGAAATTATAGTAAAAGTAAGAAAAGAGAGTGAGACAGTCGAAACCGATCAGGAGTGAATCGAATTTTTCGATATTGGTTTTTTTTTCTAATAATTTCTTTATTCCATCCCAGCTGTAGTCGTCTATGCATAATATTGATTAAAATATTCATGTTATTCTAAGTTATAATAATACTCTATTTTTAAATACATCGTTTTATTTCAGGATTTACTAAATTTGTATGTTTTTAAATTAATAAATTCAATTATTGTGCATTTTTATTCACAGAAGGAGGATGTTGAGTTGGCATTGAGGAATCGTGAAATGAATAGGGAGGAAGCTTTGGAACTTTTAAACCAGGTGCGGCCTTTGGACCAATGGAGAAGACATGACGCACACTCCACTTATGATCCGACAAATCAAACTACAACTGCGCCAACATATCCTAGATTTAATCATGTCGCACAGCAAATGTCTTTTCCTCCAGTAAGAATTATTAGTCATTGAATAGTTATCAATGTATAGAAATTTGTATTATAATCAAGCGTAACATATAAGATGATTTATTTATTTTGTTCATGTTAAAAGTTTGAAAGTTAAAAATGATAACAAAGATAATGTTTGAATAGTTATTTTTTGTCGATAAAAGTGGATGTAAGCATGACTGTTAGACTTTTAATCACTTTATAAGAACAAGAAATAATAATCACTTTCTCTTGGAAGTACAGTAAATTCTCCACAAGTGTCAGTCCTCAAGGAACCTAAACCTGACACTTGTAGAGTTAGGGACTACGTTTTCGAGCCTCGCGCCCGCCTTAGTAGTTTGCCGAATGTAGACAAGGACAGCGAATAAAAGATAAGGATGAAATGTGAGTCGAGGCAACCAAGCGATTTAAATATCAACTTTTTTAATTTTACGTTTTTTTATCCCGAAATTTTTCTTAACATATTGATGAGATTTTTCTGATGAAAATGACATCAAACACGACATAATTTGAACAACATTTACTTATTAACACGTCAGACAGTGAACGTGTTAATAAGTAAATGTTGTTCAAATTATATCGTGTTTGATATATCATTTTCATCAGAAAAATCTCACCAACATGTTAAAAACAATTTCAGATGAAAAAAAGTAAAATTAAAGAAATTATATTTTTCTATTATGAATTGTCGAGCCGTGAAATCTCGTAAAAGAAACCGAGTGGTGTAGCGTTACACGCTTGACTGACAGCGAGCGAGATAACATAGGCGCAGCAATGAAGCAGAACTAGGCGTAGGACCATCTATACTGACACCTGTAGAATCCAAACTGACTGACACTTGTAGAGAATTTACTGTATAGAGAGTGAAGGGTTTTAAATTCCTACATATTTTAAGTCTTAAATGTAAGAGTTGCTTCTGTCAGTCGAGTAAAAACTTTTATGAAATAAAACATATGCTGATTGTTGCTGTTACTGTAAAATGATTAAAAAACCGAAGTATTACTTGCAGCACGAATTTCAATAAAATGAAATAAAATGTCGAATTTCGAGTGCAGGCAAGATAAATGGATTAATCTGCATATAATTAATGACTTATACTTAATGGTTATCACTAATACTAATGACTTTATCAATTGGTGCTGTATATAATAGGGTGCTGGAGTGCCAAGTGGAAATGCAACTGGCAGTGTGGGAGGATCAGTTACTAGTACAAGCTTGCTAAAGTTACAACAACAGCAACAACAAGCTGCTGTTCCATTGCAACAACAACAACCTAGTAGCAATGCACCTCAGCCACCTTTTAATCAGGTAAGTACTATTTTACAATATTAGTATTACTCTCTATATAGTTAAATAATAAAAATAGTTAGTATAAGAGTACTCGAAGATTACATTCTTAATCACTTGAGGATGTGTCTTTTGTTACTCTGATTATTATTTCATTTGTACTAAATTTTAAATAAATTTTTCGAAAAAGTCATTTTCTAAAATAATTATATAAAAATTCATACTTGTTTTTAATTTCGTAAAGCATATAATTTTTTAATTCTAGGCTTCCAGAGCTCCTCAGAATCAGCCTAGTACTCAACAGCTACGTATGTTAGTACAACAAATTCAGTTAGCCGTCCAGGAAGGTTACTTAAACCATCAAATTTTAAATCAACCACTTGCACCTCAGACTCTAATACTTTTGAACCAACTATTACAACAAATCAAAGTTCTGCAGCAACTTCATCAGCAGCATTCAGTGCAAAGTACAATGAAGGGTAATGGCCAATCTGTTCTTCAGATCAGTGTACAAATTACAAAAACAAAGCAGCAAATAGCAAACCTTCAAAATCAAATTGCTGTACAACAAGCTACTTACATGAAACAACAACAACAGCAACAACAACAGCAACAGCAGCAGCAGCAACATCCTGTTCCACCATCTCAAAACTCAGAATATTATAAGAGCTCTGTACATGATCCCATGTCAGCTTTGCAAAACAGCTTCACAGATTTGACAATGAATAAAGAGCCTCCTGTTGTAAGTACTTTTTACAACATTTTTACTTTTTAACAATTGGAGAAAAAAGCTGAAAGCTACATTTATAGCCTCTGAAAAAATTGAAACTTTTCATTAAAGGGGGGGTATTCTAGTCTATAGTGTCATTTTTTAGTCCTTAGGGATTTTTTTGTAAAGAAAGTATAAGTTTCTCAGTATTCGGCATTTTGCATATATACTTATCATGTCTTAAGAAAGTTCACAATTTTTTTCAAGTGAAAATCAAAACTGTCTGAATTATATATCATTCAGTGCTGTCCCTTTAAAAAAAAGTGTCCTACTGGCTGACACGATTCCGCCCATTCTGTTTATCCAAAATAAAAAAACCAAAAGGATTCTTGATTAGTACGAATGTGATTATGGTGTGAACCAGAATGAAAAAAAATTGTGAAATTTTATAAAATGGTGGCACTGAAATAGCACTGAATTTTGTGTATCGATTTTGTCGATTTTTTTTCGTCTTTCAGAGACTCTAAAAATCAGAAAAATATATACATATTTTGGCATAATGCTGGTTCAGACGATAACGGCACATCCACTGAAGGTGCATGTAAAATTTGGAGTCAGTCGGACAACTAGAACTTGAGATATCATGTCAGCCATTTAGAAAAACATGGTTTCGAGAAAAACGCGTTTAAAGTTTCTCATACCAGTTACACGAGAATGGTATACTTATGACTACGGGCTACATGTCGTCTTCTTTAATCATCTAGAACTTCGTCAATTTTACGAATTCGGAAAAATCCTTCGACAATTATACTTCTGCAAATGTCTACTTTCAGAAAATGTAAAAAAATAAAATCGATTTTTTTGAAAAGTCTATCGTAGAATACCCCCTTAAGTAGTTTCCCCTTAAGGGAAATAAAATAAGGAATGTGTATATGAGTTATATTTTTGGTGAAATAATAAAAAAGTAAAATTTTTTATTAAAGAATCAGCAACAATCAAGATTGAACCAGTGGAAGTTACCTTCTTTGGACAAGGACGGAGAGTTAGTTTCGAATGAGTTCTCCAGAGCACCAGGAACAACCAGTAAGCCAGCAGCTACACCGGCTGGTTTAACACGATCACACAGTAGTCCTAACATGAATCCTTTGTTGGGTCAAGGAGATGGTACATGGTCCACCAGGCTTGGAGAGAGTGGATGGCCAGATCATCCAGGTAACACGGATTCGACTGATGGAAAGGATTGGCAGCCAACTGGTGCAGCTGCTGGTGCTGCTGCTTTCACTGATCTTGTACCTGAATTTGAGCCTGGCAAGCCATGGAAGGTAATCCATTTCCAATATCGTACATTGTATGAGAAGAAAACCTTGGAATATACACTTTTTCAACTCATTGTTTCTGAAGTGATTTAAATTATTTGTTTTAAATTGAATGTTGAACGACATACTTGATTTGTTCAGGATAGTGGCATGGTCCTATCAGTTGATGTAGATCATTTTCCGTTATCAATAGTCTATTTTTAATATGATGTTCGCGAATTGTTTCTTTGTATCTGTATCTTTATTAGGAGGGCACAGTTTTTGTTTCATCTCATTTACTTTTGTTCCTAATGAATTAAATAATTACACCGTTTCATTAAGAAATTTATGTTGTATGTTTACATTTTTAAGGGAAAACTATATTCCTTAAAGAAAATAGATTAAAAAATCATACATTTCTATAATATCTATAATAGAACGAATTTTAGAATTCGAGGATTAGAACGAATCTAATTTTATTTACGTGTATTGTGTATTAATGACCGAGGTAAAAATTGTTCGATAAATTTTTTAAATTTCTTCTAGGTTATTTTATTCGGGTCCACCTATATTTAATTTCATTTTAGGGTACCCAGATGAAGAGCATTGAGGACGATCCAAGTATTACTCCAGGCTCTATCGTTCGTTCGCCGCTTTCTTTAGCAACGATCAAAGATCCAGATGCCATTTTCTCTTCAAGTAGTAAAACTTCACCACCACCACAACAACCTACCAATCCTGATACGTCAATACCAAGTTTGAGTAACTCGACATGGACATTCAATCCACCTGCTACTACTCCAAGTGCATTCACTAGGTAATATCGCTTATTTCATATTTTCCCATTCAAGTAAATTCCCTTTACTATTTTTATATGCTGGATATATTTTTTATTTTTACTACATTACAATACATAATAGTGCAGTTATCGTATATAGAGTTATTCTTTCAGAAATTATTTTATTGATATTTGTCAACTTTTGTTTCGAATATGTTAAAAAATTTTTAATTTATATGTAGTTAGGAGATGTTTGTCGAAGAAATGCAGTTGCATATAGGATTTAACTTTTAAATGAAAATTTTATTTTATTATCATTATTTTAGTATATACACACTTCAATTGATTTTGATTTCTTTTCGATTTTAAGTAACGACTTCATGAAATTTATTACATGTGTTTAATTAAATGTTTTAATTTTATAAAATATAATTTTCAGCTCGAATAACACTTGGGGTGAGTCAGCACCACCGCCGACTGCGGTTACTTCGGAGCTCTGGGGAGCGCCAATGAGTAAAGTTCGTGGTCCTCCACCAGGCTTAAGCAGTAAAGCCACAGGAAATACGAGCAATGGCTGGGCAGGTTTTGGCACTGTCGGCAGATCATCCAGTTCGTGGGGTTTTCAAACGAGCACAAATGCTACCTGGGTTTCTACCTGGTTACTACTTAAGAATCTGACGCCTCAGATCGATGGCTCTACTTTGAAAACTCTCTGCATGCAGCACGGTCCTGTTCAAGACTTCCGATTATATCTTAATCATGGAATTGCTTTAACCAAATATTCGTCAAGAGATGAGGCTATTAAGGTTTAGTATTTTTTTCATAAATTTGTCATAATATTAACTGTGGTAATAACCTTCAAACGGTCTTTTATAGCGTTGAGCTTGTTACTATTTGTCATTCTAGCACTTTTAATTTGAAATTATAAAAAATATCTTCACGTGCTAAATGTATTAGTAAAATGTCTTGTTAAATATCAATATTTCAAAGTATGAATAATTTTCATTTCATTTCATTTTATATAAAGAAGATTTAAGATTGTTGAACCAGATACGACGAAATTTCTGGTGTATTTTAATCATTTCGTACTTCTGAAAATTCGTGCAGTTTTCGATGGTTGTAACAAAAGTTTTAACATTATTTTATTGATTTTATTCCTTTATGCAGTCGCCATTATATTCAATGATTTTTTCCTATGTAACGAAAGTTTATGCATTTCATTATGGAACAAATTTATATTTTGTGAAGCAAAAAGCTTCATAAGTTTTGCTTTTACATTGTATTCAAATGTTTCCTGGAAAATTATAAGAATTTAAAGACTTCATTGAAGTTTTTCAATCAACTTTTGAAATTTTTACTTCATTCGTCCTCGCATTAGCACCTCAAGCCATCAGTTAATTTATGATACTTACTTTTAAAATTTATACATCCTTCTTTTGATGTAAGTGAATATAAACTGTTTTCTCGCATGCCTGAAATCTTACAGCGAGTCTTATATATGATGCTGGTGCAATCAAATCAGTTGTTTCATAACTTAATCATCATTTACGATATTGGTAAATTTTTCGCGTTTCGTTTCGCTCCGTTCTCGTGCTTCGAATTGTTTGAACCATTTCTGAATGTCATAACAATATGCCTGTTTGCAAGATTGTGAGCATATCATTACACAAGAAACAACATATCGTCAACAAAATGTTCCTCTTTATCGATAGTTACATCCTAAATTTTTTCAGTTGCACGATATACATAATATAGTTGTGGTAAAAAGTCATAAGATATTTAGATATGGAGTGTAAAAGTGAAAATTATTCGTGGAGAAAACCGCATGATTGGCTGAGATTCTCAAGCATTTCTCAAGATTTTAACACATATGAATATTCTTATATAAAACAATTGGAGCAAAAAAAAAAAAAGAAAGATTCGTTACTCTTCTGCATACATAACTGTGAAATTATGCATGATACATTCAGTTCTTCTTTGCCTATATGTGTACATGTGGGTGGTGGTACGCGTGTACATGTTCTAGGGAAATTGTTGAAATGCTCTTTGAATCATACGTGATGCAAAGAACAAGAAGAAGCAGAAGAAGAAAAAGGAGGAGAAGAAGAAACAGAAAAAATATTGAATGAGTAGTAGAATTAACAAGAGAAATGTTTGATGATGTTTTTAGGCACAAGGTGCTCTGAACAATTGCGTCCTGGGCAACACGACAATTTTCGCAGAATCCCCAAACGTTGCCGAGGTACACAGTTTATTGCAACAACTTAGTCACGGGGGTCAACAGCAAGCTGGAGCGACAACGGGAGCAGGCTGGGGATTGCGACCATCGAACAAAACTGGCCCGTCACCGGACACTTGGGGCGGCAGTTCTAGCCAATTATGGGGTGCTCCGCCGAGCAGTAATTCCCTTTGGAGCAACACTGGTATCGACAGCAACGATCAGCAACGTGCTACGCCAAGTTCTCTGAACTCGTACTTACCCGGAGACCTTCTGGGAGGTGAGTCGATGTAGAGTGCCGCATGGAGGAGCGGTATCACTCGTGCGACGACCAAGCCTTCTACTTCACGATACGTCAATTATATTCCGCATTGTCAGATGGGCCGGTACTCGCGATGAAGTTACTTAAATCAGTGCCGCGTAATTTCGGCAGCAACAGGGATCTGATTTGATTTTTTTAACTGAAGATTTTTCAATTCGGGATTCGGGTATGATGGGGACAGGGGAGGGGGTATATCATGAATTTCAAGGCTTTTGGTGTGCGCCGTGCTTTCTCAGTGGTTTGGAGTAGTGCCGAGTACGTTTAATAATACACGCGAACGCCTCTATTATTACGCGTACTATACGATCAATACGTACTACGCCCACGTTTCAAATGAAAATTAGTATTGTCGTTATAATATTGCTTGTGTTGCAACTTTTGGTATTTTGGTATTTTAGGATAATATTAATTTCACTCGACAAATATTGCGCGTATGTGTGTACACAGTGCGCACTATATTACGATAGGCACGTTTTATGACGTTTCAGTTACTGAATTAGTATTCTTCCTATGCAGACCGCGTTTTCATTAATATACCTTTCAATCGAATATTCTGTTTATCCAACACATATGTATTATTACTATGTTCCAGTGTTTAAGTTGACCTTTGCTATCACACATTCTTCGATGTTTTAATATTTCTAATTAGAATATTGCGCAACTGTTTTCTCCTTTTAATGACGCAGTAAACAGAGTATACGTACTACATACACACGTTAGAGGAAATTCTGTTTGGAAATTAATACTCCGCTGCATTTTTCGATATATGGTGTATCGACACATTATTGGCGTTTTATGTAACAATGCTATTCGTCCTTTTAAATGTTCTAGTTGTAAAATGTGCCGTTCTCATATTTGCCAATAATGTTGATCACTTCATTTTGTATTATACTCCATTCTTTTCTTGGTAGCTTATCGATGCCTGTTACAATTTCAATTCTTTCATTAAGATGATTTGTAACATGCAAACGCGAGCGCGCGAATATGATTTATATTAAAACATCGATACGCAGATGATTTCATTAAGATACTTTGAACTTCAACTTCTTTTACGTATTTTGAAAATTGGAGCACAAACAGTAGAAAAAGTTAAAGGTATGCGCATACACCGCAGCCATTAGCTTTGAAAACAATGATAGAGATCGGCTGCTTGTAGATAATGACGCCGCCAACACTTTCTTAAGAATGCGCGTGTAAGAAAGTAAATTATAATCGATGGTCTCACGAGTGTTCCACTTTTTTTCTTTAAACAGTTTCCTTTAATCGAGACTGCGATGCGTATCAAACGTAGACTGTACCAATCTAATCAAAACAAAAAAAAAAAAACGAAAAAATAAAAAGCGGAAAGAATGAATAAGATATGAATGAAAGAAAAATAAAAGAAAAAGAGAGGAAGAATGTTACCTCTTACAATTAAAGAAACTATGCGAGGATCCGCGTCGATGCTTCGG